GAGCCTGATGAAATCTCTGCTAGCTTTTCGGGAGTTATCCCCAGTGGGATGGGAACCGGGGGAAACATTCTTCCAGTTTGGATGCATCAATGGAGCTACTTGATGACAGATGGGCCAAACACGCTTTATCGATTTGTTACCGACACGGAAATCCCCCATATGACACTCCCAATCATGGTTGACCTCTCCCGCAACCATCTACTGAGGCCTTTTAACCATTTCGACTTTCTGGGGGACCTCGGCCTCACTAAATTCAAAACATGGGGTGCGATCTATTCTGCTGCACTTGATGACCTGAATTCCCTTGAAGAGTTCAAGAGACTGACAATCGCGCTCTTGATGCTAGTGAATCTTTATCATCGAAGGGTTCAATCGCGCTTTTCGTTCTATCTTGGACAAGTTTTTTCGCGCGGCGGCAAAGATAGGAACACTCGCCTCGACCAGAATCTTGGCTTTTGAGCGGGTACTCCAAAACGATAGCTTGAATCCACTTAATATATGCTTTCCGTTTCACCTCGATCGGCAATAAGGTTGTATAGAGTGCCTAGCGTTTCCGGACTACAAGAGGAAACAGCGCGGGCACCAAACCACTATCATCTTTGTACCTCTATTTTAATTTAATGCATTAAAGTTCGACATATTCCCGCTATCTTGTTGTATGGTCTTATTAGTTCTGATACACTCGCGGAAACACATAGTCCACACTCATTTGTACTTCACATTCTTGCTGGCGGTCCGGCAAGTATACCGAAAAAATCACACTTTTCTTCGTGTCTGACATTTTTTACCATCATTATTTTTACGATTTTTTGTTATTGGTTGTGCGCCAAAGAAAGCAATAAAAGGCGGATAAAAACGTACATGTAGTAGAGATTTATTCGATACAAATGCAGCATACAGAAAAACACTGTATTAGGAAACGCCAAAATACAACAATAACATTTAATAATACTATTAATTCAAAATATGCTTTTCCCAGCACATACAATTTCTTCATATTTAAAAACTTTTTCACTCGGATCCTGTGGCTGATGCTGCCTGGTGAAGACATCGAAGGGCATACACTCGCCGTCAACTGTGCGGACCGATAACTCACCGGTCTTCTCGAAACAATTGCCGGGCAGGAACGCCACAAAATAGTTGTAACAAGCAGGCTCAAGAGATCCGGGTGCAGCACCCCCATCAACAATGGAGTTGAGTTTCTCAAACGCCTCGGTGCTTGTCACGCCTGCCAGGTATGGTGGCAGCGAGGTTACTTTTGCGGCTGAATTGCTACTGTTGCAAACGAGGCAGCGTCTCCACATACACCAGTCTGCTGTTGATCGATCCATATACATATAAAGAAGCTTGTCGACCGTCACAGTCTGATCGAGGTCCAGCACCGGGTAACCGCAGCTTTTCCAGAGGTCGAGATCACCGCGGTAGTCAAGTAGCGCCGCCTCAAGCTCAGCCTTCACATCCGGACCCAGGACTGTGACGAGAGAAAGAGCTTCGAATTGATGATTCAACTCATCTTCCATGGTTATGCTTTAGCGGGCCTGTATTTTGTGCGTCCCAAGCTGTAAAGTTTCTTCTGAGCATTTAGAGCACGGCTGGAACGTATTTAAGGAACGTGGCCTCCCCATTTTTTATTGCTACGTGACTTTCTGAGGTATTCGAAATAAATAAAAAATGTAATCGGATCTCGATTGAGCGTATCCGAATCTGCCAGCGTGCATGTAGTGGGAAGGGAACTTATCGCAGAGCATCATAATCGAAGCAGCCCCACTTCCGG